AATGATGCCACATTTACAAATTGAAGGTGATGAAATATGCCAACATGTCTCGAACTTCATTAAGCTCCTTGCTAGTTAACGGATACCCCGTTTGCACCTTGCAAAACTTGGAATATATATAAATTATGTTAGAATAAATTAAATTAATATGTAAAAAATTAAATACTTGGGAAAATTAAAAACAGTCACATTTTCATCCAAATAGCCAAAATAAGGCCTATTTGACTTCTACTTGCCCATTTTCTACATTTTTAAACAAATGACCAAGTTGTTTCCCATAAAATATCAATTATATTTAGTTATAGGTGGCTAAGCCTTGAAATCACAGGAAAAGGGCATTTTACTAAGTTTAAGGTCGCATTTTCATCCAAAATAGCCAAAATAAGGCCTATTTGACTTCTATTTGCCCATTTTTTACATTTTTAAACAAATGACCAAGTTGTTTCTCATAACATGTCAATTATAATTTTTTATAGGTGGCTAAGCCTTGAAATCACAAGAAAAGGGCATTTTACTAAGTTTAAGGTCGCATTTTCATCCAAAATAGCCAAAATAAGGCCTATTTGACTTCTACATGCCCATTTTCTACATTTTTAAACAAATGACCAAGTTGTTTCTCATACCATGTCAATTATATTTAGTTATAGGTGGCTAAACCTTGAAATCACAGGAAACGGGCATATTACTATGTTTAAGGTCGCATTTTCATCCAAAATAGCCAAAATAAGACTTCTACTTGCCCATTTTCTACATTTTAAACAAATGACCAAATTGTTTCTCATAACATGTCAATTATACTTATTTATAGGTGGCTAAGCCTTGAAATCAAAGGAAAAGGCATTTTACTAAGTTTAAAGTCGCATTTTCATCCAAAATAGCCAAAATAAGGCCTATTTGACATCTACTTGCCCATTTTCTACATTTTTAAACAAATGACCAAGTTGTTTCTCATAACGTATCAATTATACTTAGTTATAGGTTGCTAAGCCTTGAAATCACAGAAAAAGGGCATTTTACTAAGTTTAAGGTCGCAATTTCATCCAAAATAGCCAAAATAAGGCCTATTTGACATCTACTTGCCCATTTTCTACATTTTTAAACAAATGACCAAGTTGTTTCTCATAACGTGTCAATTATACTTTGTTACAGGTTGCTAAGCCTTGAAATCACAGAAAAAGGGCATTTTACTAAGTTTAAGGTCGCAATTTCATCCAAAATAGCCAAAATAAGGCCTATTTGACTTCTACTTGCCCCTTTTCTACATTTTTAAACAAATGACTAAGTTGTTTCTCATATCATGTCAATTATACTTATTTAGGTGGCTATGCCTTGAAATCATAGAAAAAGGGCATTTTACTAAGTTTAAGGTCGCAATTTCATCTAAAATAGCCAAAATAAGGCCTATTTAACTTCTAATTGCCCATTTTCTACATTTTTAAACAAATGACCAAGTTCTTTCTCATAACATGCCAATGATACTTAGTTATAGGTGGCTAAGCCTTGAAATCACAGAAAAAGGGCATTTTACTAAGTTTAAGGTCGCAATTTCATGCAAAATAGCCAAAATAAGGCCTATTTGACTTCTACTTGCCCATTTTCTACATTTTTAAACAAATGACCAAGTTGTTTCTCATAAAATGTCAATTATACTTAGTTATAGGTGGATAAGCCTTGAAATCACAGGAAAAGGGCATTTTACTAAGTTTAAGGTCGCATTGTCATCCGAAATAGCCAAAATAAGGCCTATTTGACTTCTACTTGCCCATTTTCTACATTTTTCAACAAATGACCAAGTTCTTCCTCATAACATGTCAATTATACTTAGTTATAAGTGGCTAAGCCTTGAAATCACAGAAAAAGGGCATTTTACTAAGTTTAAGGTCGCAATTTCATCCAAAATAGCCAAAATAAGGCCTATTTGACTTCTACTTGCCCCTTTTCTACATTTTTAAACAAATGACCAAGTTGTTTCTCATAACATGTCAATTTTACTTATTATAGGTAGATATGCCTTGAAATCATAGAAAAAGGGCATTTTACTAAGTTTAAGGTCGCAATTTCATCTAAAATAGCCAAAATAAGGCCTATTTAACTTCTACTTGCCCATTTTCTACATTTTTAAACAAATGACCAAGTTGTTTCTCATAACATGCCAATGATACTTAGTTATAGGTGGCTAAGCCTTGAAATCACAGAAAAAGGGCATTTTACTAAGTTTAAGGTCGCAATTTCATCCAAAATAGCCAAAATAAGGCCTATTTGACTTCTACTTGCCCATTTTCTACATTTTTAAACAAATGACCAAGTTGTTTCTCATAAAATGTCAATTATACTTAGTTATAAGTGGATAAGCCTCGAAATCACAGGAAAAGGGCATTTTACTAAGTTTAAGGTCGCATTTTCATCCGAAATAGCCAAAATAAGGCCTATTTGACTTCTACTTGCCCATTTTCTACATTTTTCAACAAATGACCAAGTTCTTCCTCATAACATGTCAATTATACTTAGTTATAAGTGGCTAAGCCTTGAAATCACAGAAAAAGGGCATTTTACTAAGTTTAAGGTCGCAATTTCATCCAAAATAGCCAAAATAAGGCCTATTTGACTTCTACTTGCCCCTTTTCTACATTTTTAAACAAATGACCAAGTTGTTTCTCATAACATGTCAATTTTACTTATTATAGGTAGATATGCCTTGAAATCATAGAACAAGGGAATTTTACTAAGTTTAAGGTCGCAATTTCATCTAAAATAGCCAAAATAAGGCCTATTTAACTTCTACTTGCCAATTTTCTACATTTTTAAACAAATGACGAAATTGTTTCTCATAACATGTCAATTATACTTAGTTATAGGTGGCTAAGCCTTGAAATAACAGGAAAAGGGCATTTTACTAAGTTTAAGGTCGCATTTTCATCTAAAATAGCCAAAATAAGGCCTATTTGACTTCGACTTGCCCATTTTCTACATTTTTCAACAAATGACCAAGTTGTTTCTCATAACATGTCAATTATACTTAGTTATAGGTGGCTAAGCCTTGAAATCACAGGAAAAAGGCATTTTACTAAGTTTAAGGTCGCATTTTCATCCAAAATAGCCAAAATAAGGCCTATTTGACTTCGACTTGCCCATTTTCTACATTTTTCAACAAATGACCAAGTTCTTCCTCATAACATGTCAATTATACTTAGTTATAAGTGTCTAAGCCTTGAAATCACAGAAAAAGGGCATTTTACTAAGTTTAAGGTCTCAATTTCATCCAAAATAGCCAAAATGAGGCCTATTTGACTTCTACTTGCCCATTTTCTACATTTTTAAACAAATGACCAAGTTGTTTCTCATAACATGCCAATGATACTTAGTTATAGGTGGCTAAGCCTTGAAATTACTGGAAAAGGGCATTTTACTAAGTTTAAGGTCGCATTTTCATCCAAAATAGCCAAAATACGGCCTATTTGACTTCTACTTGCCCATTTTCTACATTTTTTAAACAAATGACCAAGTTGTTTCTCATAACATGTCAATTATACTTAGTTATAGGTGGCTAAGCCTTGAAATCACAGGAAAAGGGCATTTTACTAAGTTTAAGGTCGCATTTTCATCCAAAATAGCCAAAATAAGGTCTATTTGACTTCAATTTGCCTATTTTTTACATTTTTAAACAAATGACCAAGTTGTTTTTCATAAATTATTAATTATAATTTGTTATATGTGGCTAAGCCTTGAAATCACAGGAGAAGGGCATTTTACTAAGTTTAAGGTCGCATTTTCATCCAAAATAGCCAAAATAAGGCCTATTTGACTTCTACATGTCCATTTTCTACATTTTTAAACAAATGACCAAGTTGTTTCTCATAACATGTCAATTATACTTAGTTATAGGTTTCTAAGCCTTGAAATCACAGGAAAAGGCCTTTTACTAAGTTTAAAGTCGCATTTTCATCCAAAATAACCAAAATAAGGCCTATTTGACATCTACTTGCCCATTTTCTACATTTTTAAACAAATGACCAAGTTGTTTCTCATAACGTGTCAATTATACTTAGTTATAGGTTGCTAAGCCTTGAAATCACAGAAAAAGGGCATTTTACTAAGTTTAAGGTCGCAATTTCATCCAAAATAGCCAAAATAAGGTCTATTTGACTTCTACTTGCCCCTTTTCTACATTTTTAAACAAATGACTAAGTTGTTTCTCATATCATGTCAATTATACTTATTATAGGTGGCTATGCCTTGAAATCATAGAAAAAGGGCATTTTACTAAGTTTAAGGTCGCAATTTCATCTAAAATAGCCAAAATAAGGCCTATTTAACTTCTACTTGCCCATTTTCTACATTTTTAAACAAATGACCAAGTTGTTTCTCATAACATGCCAATGATACTTAGTTATAGGTGGCTAAGCCTTGAAATCACAGAAAAAGGGCATTTTACTAAGTTTAAGGTCGCAATTTCATCCAAAATAGCCAAAATGAGGCCTATTTGACTTCTACTTGCCCATTTTCTACATTTTTAAACAAATGACCAAGTTGTTTCTCATAAAATGTCAATTATACTTAGTTATAGGTGGCTAAGCCTTGAAATCACAGGAAAAGGGCATTTTACTAAGTTTAAGGTCATTTTCATCCGAAATAGCCAAAATAAGGCCTATTTGACTTCTACTTGCCCATTTTCTACATTTTTAAACAAATGACCAAGTTGTTTCTCATAACATGTCAATTATACTTAGTTATAGTTGGCTAAGCCTTGAAATCACAGGAAAAGGGAATTTTACTAAGCTTAAGGTCGCATTTTCATCCAAAATAGTCAAAATAAGGCCTATTTGACTTCTACTTGCCCATTTTCTACATTTTTCAACAAATGACCAAGTTCTTCCTCATAACATGTCAATTATACTTAGTTATAAGTGGCTAAGCCTTGAAATCACAGAATAAGGGCATTTTACTAAGTTCAAGGTCGTACCTCATCAAGATGTATGGTGTTGGAACAATGAGTCGCTATCTCAAGCATGAATCTCATCACGTATAATCCACAATCAACTCCATTATCTTGTTGTGGGCACTAGAATAGGAACAAATCAAATGAATCAAACGTCACATAAAACCCACAATTGTTTTAGCAATGTTTATTAAGATAATCATAATATGATGTGGCATTACCATAGGTGATTTCCATGTAGGACCCCGTGGAGCACGACCATGTATCTTCTTCATAATACTATAGGAAAGTAAATTCAAATTTGATTAGTTTGACTACTAAATGAGTTAGGTTAAGATAATCACCACTAGATAGCTATATTTACTTTTGTAGTACAGACATCACGAGGTACTTCTTTGTTGATCGAGCTGAATCAAGGTAAAGATTGTGTTATTAGCAGGACAAATCACCATCAGGAACCAATGAAACCTACATAAATTCACAATACACAAACACATCAATAATTAGGGTACAACAAATAATTCAAATGTAGAAAAAATTGAATTACACATGGTTAAACGTACTCCTCATAACATGGGGCGAATATGAACTTGTCTCCCGCACGCTTTGATTCCCGAATATTATGGTTAACATAATACATCACCTCGGGGGAGTTGTGTAAGATTCTAGTCTCGGATGTCTGTTCGGGGCATAACCACCCAACTTTACTAGGGGAATCAGTGTCACTTAAGTGCTCCCGTAGTGCTCTACGTGCATGTGCAATGAAAAATTAATTGACATATATATGAAGGATAAACAACACTATTATATACAACAAATTAATTTAAGTGGCATGAGCCCGTACCTCACAAACCTCTTATTATGCAACTACATTAGTGCCCTTTCACCTTTCGATGGAAATTCATCACGCAAACTAGCCATGTGCTCATCTAAATATGGGTGAACATCAGCAACATGGTGCAACACATAAAGGTGTGCTTGTAAGAACTGATCTCGATCCGGTGACATTCGTTTCGACCCAATTGTGCCATGACCATCCAGTCTCCCTTCATGTTGAGAAGCAGGAAGACCAATAGGTTCAGCAACGGCTAAATAGTCGGCCGCAAAATTACCAATCTCCTCACTCACGGTCCCTTGAATCATGCTTCCTTCCGGATGAGCCGGATTCCTTACTTTATCTTGCAATGTGCCCATGTGTCTTTCAAAAGGATAGCACCACCTCAAGAACTGGACCGCACAACTTAATCTCACGCACCAAATGTAGAATGAGATGCACCATTACGTCAAAAAAGGATGGTGGAAAATACATCTCAAATTTGCACAAAGTCACAACCACATCCGTTTGCAAAGCATCAAGTGTACAAGGATCAAGCACTTTGCTGCATATTGTATTGAAAAACGAACATAGACTTGTAATAGCTTCTCTCTAGTGCTTCGGTAAAATACCACGTATTACAATCGGTAGAAATACTTGCATCAACATGTGACAATCATGGGATTTCATACTTGTCAGCTTCAGTTCTCCACTTAAGGATACAAATCTTTTCATGTTAGATGCGTACCCAGATGGAACCTTAATGCCGTAAAGACATGCACAAAACATCCGCTTTTCTACCCTTGACAATGTGTAGCAAGCCGGTGGTGAATACTTCTTCTCAACCATGCCTTTACCCTCATCTCTACTCTTCGAAGCATCCGCGGCCTTTCCCTTTCCCTTGCTCTTCCCCTTTCCTTTTTTCGAAACATTTGCAGTTTCTTGTTCCGGTTCCTTTCCCTTTCTGCCCTTCCCCTTTGTAACCTTGTCTTGAGGCCACAATTCCGGACGAATCCCGATCTCTTCCAAATCTAATCGTACACCCTTTTCATCCTTTGTTTTGCCTGAAATATTAAAAAGCGTTCCCACAAGAGCATCACACACATTCTTCTTTATCTGCATCACATCTAGACAGTGCCTAACATCATGTTCTTTCCAGTACGGAAGCTTCCACAAAATTGATTCTTTTTTTAAAAGAGCTGTTGAGACCGGAGCTTTTTCAGATTTTCCAAACACTGTTCGTATACCCTTATCTTGAGCATAAACCTCAACACCGGTCAATGGCCTAGGCGCAATCTCCTCTTCCACTGTCCCATCGAAAGCCTTTTTTTGCCTACGGTACGGATGATCACGCCTAAGGAACCTTCGAGTCCTTATATACACATCTTTGTGAGAATTCTTAAGGTATATGCTTGATGTTTCATCAATACATATGGGGCATGCTTTTTTCCCTTTAACCTTGTACCCACACAGGTTGCCATATGCAGGGAAGTCATTCATGGTCCACATAAGGGCTGCACGCAATGTGAACACCTCGTTCTTATGAGCATCAAAATAAGAAACCCCTTCGTCCCACATCTTTCTCAAATCGTTAATTAGTGGCGCAAGGTAAACATCTATGCCATTTCCAGGTTGCCTAGGCCTCGTTATTAGCAATGAAAGCATTATATACTTCCGTTTCATACATAACCAAGGAGGCAAATTGTAGATCAATAAAAGAACCGGCCAAGTGCTGTGTTGGGTACTAAGAGTGCCAAATGGATTCATCCCGTCTGTGCACAACCCAAGTCTTAAATTTCTGACCTCATTACCAAACTCCAGAAACTTCAAATCAATGTTCTTCCATTGCGGGGAGTCAGCCGGATGCTTCAGCATTCTGTTTTTCTTCCTTCCCTCGGCATGCCACCTCAAGTTTTTAGCGTCTTTTGGTGTTGAGAATAGACGCTTAAACCTTGGAATAATAATAAGATACCACAAAACTTTAGCAGGAGGTCCCTTCGTGCCAGGATTGCAACTCATGCGCTTGTAGCGCGATTGCTTGCATCGTGGACACTCCTCCAATTGTTCATTTTCATTACGATACAAAATACAATCATTAGGACATGCATGTATCTTCTTATACTCTAAACCAAATGGACACATAAGCTTCTTTATATAATAATAAGACGTAGGAATTTCATTCCCATTAGGCAACATCTCACTTAATGCGGTAACAAAGAAGTAGAACTAACGTCCGTCCACCCATGCTTCGACTTAATGTTAAAAAGTGTTAGCACGGCAGAAAGTTTGGAGTATTTTTTGCACCAAGAGTACAAAGGCTTTTTGGAAGCCTCCGATGGTAATTCAAACACATCACCTTCGACATTATGCAACATCTCATCCATGTCATTATCCTTGACCTCATCCACTGGATGATCCTTAGCTCCATCCTCACCACTATCGATAACATATTCATCATTCTCCCATTCCTCGTCTACATGAATCTCATTGCTTTTATCATGCACATCATTCCCATCAAGATCCTCACTATACTCTCCACTTTCACCATGCCAAATCCACACATGGTATTTAAGTATAAACCCACGACAAAGTACATGATCTCTAATGATTTCAACACTATTGACCACCTTCACATTATTACAATCAACACAAGGACAGTATATGCCTTCCTCACCAACTTTGTGCTGATAAGATAAAGCCGTCTCGCAAAACTCTTGAACCCCATTCCAAAAATCCATTGTATCACGTCTACCATACATCCAACCACGATCCTATCCCAATTAGTAAAGTGTCTCTAAACATATATAGCAACATATTACCAATAATGTACAATTGCTACATATCTTATGTAAATCAACTTCAAGTACACATCGTGAATATACCATTCATATAGTGAACATATGCATGTTTTCAAAGTGTTCTTATCACTCCAACCTAACCCATCCTTGAATGTCTACTCTCACTAGTGAATTTATGTCAACTTTCCAATTTTAAGAAAAATCCGGCAGCACTACCCCCCAGTTCTCCAAGTACAAGATGTAGATAATTACTTACCCACATATGTACCCAGAGAACATGGAGAAGAAATGGACAGCCAAGATGTTCCTTAAAATCGAAAAAAAGACATACATTCACCACCTAAGTGAGAGTAAACATTCAAGAACAGTCCCAACCGGGGACTATTCAAGACTTTCTCCTAATGAGAAAGCCTTGAACGGGTATCTAGGCATATGATGATGCAAACATTCAACATATTATTGTAATTATTTATTATTAAACAAGACACAACTTGTAATATCATGAACAAACTTTTATCAAATAGATAAATAGAAAGAAATATATATAGCTGCATAAAGTTTATAGTTCATACCAATATAGCAAGTATAATGGATGTAATGTCTCGAACTTCCCACTTGAATAGCTAATAAACTTGTGCTTCACTACATATGAATCTACAAAAATAAAAAAATAAAACAACAAAATAAAAGTTAGTAATTTTGTCAAGAACTATATAAAACAACCTAAAATTACACATTAAAACATACCAATTAATAATTACACATTAAAACATACTACCAAAATTCACCTAATTAAGTAACAAGGTTACTAATAATCTATAATTTAATAAAAATTACCCATTAAAACTTATGAAAATTCAAATAAGTAAAAAGGTCATAAAATGAAAAATAAATTAAAACTAACCCTAAAATTGAAGGCATTCAAATAAAACAACCTAAAATTCAGAAAAATTAGGGTAAACTATATTCAACTTAAAATTTAATTTGCCTAAACATTGTTCAAAATGCAAAATAAATTAAAACTAACCCTAGTCTTGAGTCTCCTACTTGTTTCATGCCCACCTTGTGATTTGTCTAGTCATAAAATAAACTTTAATAAAATTAAATTTCTGAGCAATAGAAAAAATTAATGACTCGGTAGGAGATGAATTAATTCATCTTCAAAATTATAATTAAATATGTGGTTACATAAACCCCATGAATGTCATACATACATTGAGGCAAATATTTGCTTCTGCAGTAAAGTACATATAGAAGCAATAAAAACAATAAAATCCCTCTTCCTTCAAAGCTTAACATAAAATTAAGAATTTCTTCATATACTTTCCTTCTTGTAAATTGAAACAAGTATCACTTAGATAAGGAAAGACATTATAATTAGTGCAATTCATCAAGTGAAATCTTAAACAACAGCCCCTACCTATCCTATAATTACTGCATTTCACCGAACATCAATTTAATGGCTTGTTCTAATAAACTAACCATATAGTTAAGGGCAGACATTATATTATACAACAATAGTCTTCCAAGATTACTAGATAGTTTTTCTCACAGCTTAGCCAGCAAACTTGGCACAACTACATAAATGGAATCCCCACTGCAGTATAAGTAATGGTGAGGCTTGAAATGTGACCTTGGTTTAGTTTCTCATTATCTCTACAGTTTAGTCTAGACTTTTGGATGGTAAGAAAAATTAATAAATGAAAAACATATTAGAAAAACAACCTAAAATTCAGAAAAATTAGGGTAAACTATATTCAAAACTTAAAATTTAATTTTCCTAAACATTGTTCAAAATGCAAAATAAATTAAAACTAACCCTAGGTGGAGGTGGGAAGGGAGAAGAGATGGTCGGTGGTGGAGGGACCACAGTGTTGAGCGGCGGCGTGGCACAGTGGCGCGGCGGCGAGGGTGACCAAGGTTGCTGTCTCGATGGAGCAGGGTTGATGAGGGAGAAGAGATGGTCGCTGCTTCTTGCGGCGAGGGCGAGCAGGGCTGCCGCGAAATTGGTGCAAACAGGTGGTGGAGGGGGTGCGCAAAGGTGGTGGAGGGTGGTGCGGGGGCGGTGGCTGTGGCTTTGTGATGGTAGGGTTCGTTGGAGAGTGAACTTAGAGAGCTCAGTGAATTTGTGAATGAAACAGGAAAAAGAAAGAGGAAAGAGAAGGAAGAAAAGAGGAAGGCGCGATTTTTTTTTTTTTTTAATATAAGTAGTTATTGCCACCGGTTCAAAACCGGTGGCCTTTATCATTATTTCCACGGGTTTAGTTTGAAACAGTGGCAATGTGGTTTTGCCTTATCCCGCCCATTTATTAAGCCATCGGTTTTCAAAAATCGGTGGCCATTGAGCGGTGTTTTTTTCAATTTTTCTACTAGTGTTTATTGCCATGGTAATTCAAGTTCTATATACATTGCCTAGAAAGAAAAAGAATTAACACAATAAATTGATTTGAAATATCGACAGCCTTGACGTCCACTTTAGATGTCTTTTACAACTCTTGAGCATTGGTCTTCTCACTTATCATGAGCAACTAATATGTCCGCCTGCGTGGGATACCTTCATCTTCTCTAAGCGAGGAACATTGATTGAACATCATTGCTAAATGAAAAAATTATCGTTATCGCTATCACACCTATACCTCACTGCCAAGTCATCACGATGATTCAAATATTAAGTTAATAATCCTTGCTTTTTGAAAACATGTCTAATTTTCTTTCTTTATTTTTCTACGGGAAAGTTTGATTCGCCTTCCTTTTTATACAAATTCGTCTTTTTTGTTCATTTCTTTTTCGGGGGTAAGTCGGGATGATCCCTCCCATTTGGCAACTAAAATACTCGAAAATAGTATAATTTTTCCGCTCTTAGCCTCAAATTGGGAGCTTAAAAAAGCCAGGACATCCCCACTTCTCTCTATTTACAGATTTGAACGCGCTATTTATGCTGCGAAATCAATGTCATGCAAAGCTTATTATGAACCATCTTAATAACTTTAAATGACAAAGGGAAGAATACCACTTCCTATTATTTGACCAAGATAATTAATTATGTTACTTGATCAAAAAATTTATGATAAACATATGCAATATTCCGTTGAAAATACAAATATTAGGGCCTTAAATAAACATAAGAAACATCCCCTAGATTATGTATACATGAATTCCAAAACCTACCTAAGTCTACACTTGGGGGCTTCAAATTAAAAATCTAAGTCTCACCTTAACTTTCATTTAAAAATGAGACCATATTTTGGAAAGTTATTCGAATGATTTTATAAATTATTCTAACACTTCACCAAACCTAGGTTTGATAAACATTCGTTTTCAAACTACGGTGCTTATTTAATTGAAAGAAATTCTCTTTTAATTAGAAAAATATGACAATGATGACAAAAAGTAAACCTTAAACAAAATCAGATATACAAAGGTTTGCTCACATTTTCATATCTTTGTTGAAATAAGTTGCAAATTACAACGTACCTTCATCAATCTTAGACAAAAAAAAGTCACACTCAATTACGAGCTAGAATTTTCTTTCCATTTTGGGTTCAATTTTGAAAATAACATTATGTATTTTGCTAACTATAAAAAGTTGCTTTTCAAAACAAACTTTTATTTAAGTTATTGGACCCTTTCCAAATTTTGAATTCTAGTTCGAAATTACCTGTCTCTAATAAAATATAGTATTCAAAATTTCCTTTCTGAATTTTTGTGTCATTTCCTTAAATAAATAAATTTTCAGATTCTCGATAACCGTTTGGATAATACGTGGATGTACATTTATATTTTCAAAAGGAATGAACTAAGATTCGACTTCTTGGCTCGAACTTGTTCTCACTGGCTTAGGTATGTTTAAGAAACCACCTACAAGACCAAAATCAATGATTGATAAAAAACAAAGAAAATATTTGATGTTCTAAATCAATTGTTAGAATAAAATCACCACAATGATCTTTACAAAATGTTTTGACATTAGGTATGATATAATAAACCTTAAACACAATTGTTTTGGTTTACAAACAAGCAAAGAACTAACTTGCTTTCTTAAACATTAATTTAACTAAAATGCAAAAGCCATGTCGTTTTCCTAAATATCTCAAAACAAAAAATAGGACATATACATAGGTCCATCTCAATATCATGATTATATGAATGGCATAAACAATAGCAAGTCATTAGAAATACCCCAAATTGGGGGCTCCAAGACATGAGAAATAGCAAGAATGCGCATAACCCAATACATGGCGGCTCCAATATCCACAAAGAAACTAAATGAGATATTCATGCCATTCGAGCTACTTTCGAGAATCGCCTAAATAGTTTTAGATCTCGAGCCTTATAATTTTCAAATGCATCACAATTATTTAATAATCATTCTGTTCCTTTGAAAACTAAGTTTACAACTGAACTTTGCAATGAAACAAGTTACATATTCGAGCCATTTTCAAGTTCAACTTCAAGAACTAATCTTAATGCATAATTGTTGTTTCAATACTTCAATTTACTCTAGTGATTAGAGAGTATAACTAGTACAGAGCAATGAAATCATGATACTTGCTTATACGAAAGTTTAGTATTCAATCATTCATCTTGAAAATTGTATCAAGACAAATTATTATCATAAGGCAAACAATTTTATGAGTTAGAATGTAAACAAAAGACTCCTAAATTTGAAATTAAGGAGTCTTCATTCTAAATTATTTTCCATTTTTGCACACATTGGAATTCTGCAAGGAGGATAACATCTAATTTCTCGAGCTATAAAATAGTGAAAATTTTGAACTCAAAAGAAAGAATTCAAAATTAACAAGAATAGACGAAAAATTTGAACAACATTTCATTTTTCCCCTAACTTGTTCTAATGAATGACCAATATTACTAGACTTAGGAAACTTCTTTGTTAATTATATGAATTGTCAAAAAACGATTTAAAGACACTAGTTTAATCATTTCCAAGATCCTAGTTGTTATCATAATAAGACAAAACACGGGGTTTCTAGACCCATTTCAAGCAACATGCAAGGGTCTAATTATTAAAAAACAAACAAGTCATCGAAGTCACCAAACATTGGGGGATACAATATTCGAAAACATAAAATGGGGGATGTAGACACCCATTTGTGTCTCCCCGAAACCAAACCCAGTAATGAGTACCTTTCACGTCGAATCATAATCGAATGAAGTGAAAGTGTGGAAAGTCTAGTGTTGCGATTAGTTTTTATTTCTTTTCTTTCTCTCTTTTTTTGAAAACCTATTTTAAGAAAACAACCAATCCAGTTTGGTTTAGTCCATGCCAAGGGTCCAATAATAGTGTAGTTGGATGGGGCTTGAAAGACCTTTTAAACGATATATTATAAGCCCAATTCTGACGAATAATGAGGAAGTTATGGCCAAATTACTAAACTGGGCCAGGTTTGATAATTATATGCGACCCAATGATCTAGAGGAGGGCCTAATATTGATTTATCATTCCTAATGCGATTAGAATTGATTATAGTCTTCTAGATTCTTCTAGAAGGTTCTTTTCATTCCTAATTTAATTCGCATTGATAAATTGACTATAGTTGACTTTTAAGAGTTTTATTCATAATAAAAAAGTGTTTTTAAAGGAAATACGATTTTGCCCTTTCGTGTGGCTAAATTTTATCAAATAAAGAAAACGCGTGGAAATTTATTTCCAGCGTCTGACGACAAGACCAGTGCTTGGCGCCATACCTGACGTTTGGTGCTAGACTTGGCATATGGCGTTAGAGTCCAGCGTTTGGCGCCACACGCGTGTTTGGCGCTGCGATTGTGTTTTATTCTTTTGGAAACTCT